TGAAGAGGGGGAATGCCGGCAGCTGGAATTCTGGGCTGGAAAAGGAGCAAATATTATAGACCTATTCTGCACAACTCCAAAAGTCCTGAAACTTCACGGGAGCTCATTTCAGAATATATAAAAAATATTGGGTGAAGGAAGTACCAGAGGGGGGCCACCCACCATCCATGAGGGTGGGGGCGTGCCCCCTATCTCGTGGCCCCCCTGGCAGGCCTCCGGTGCCCATCTTCTACTATATGAGGTCTTTCGTCCAAGAAAAAATCATAAGCAAGCTTACGGGACGAAACTCCGCCGCCATGAGGCAGAACCAATCTAGGGCTTTGGCGGAGCTGTTCTGCCAGGGAAACTTCCCTCCGGGAGGAGGAAATCATCACCACCGTCATCATCATCGATCCTCTCATTGGGAGGGGGTCAATCTCCATCAACATCTTCACCAGCACCATCTCATCTCAAACCCTAGTTCATCTCTTGTATCCAATCTTTGTCCCAAAACCTCAGATTGGTACCTGTGGGTTGCTAGTAGTGTTGATTACTCCTTGTAGTTGATGCTAGTTGGTTTACTTGGTGGAAGATCATATGTTCATATCATTTATGCATATTAATACCCCTCTGATTATGAACATGAATATGATTTGTGAGTAGTTACGTTTGTTCTTGAGGACATGGGAGAAGTCTTGCTATAAGTAGTCATGTGAATTTGGTATTCGTTCGATATTTTGATGAGATGTATGTTGTCTCTCCTTTAGTGGTATCATGTGAACGTCGACTACATGACACTTCACCATTGTTTGGGCCTAGAGGAAAGAATTGGGAAGTAATAAGTAGATGATGGATTGCTAGAGTGACAGAAGCTTAAACCCTAGTTTATGAGTTGCTTCGTAAGGGGCTGATTTGGATCCATATGTTTCATGATATGGTTAGGTTTACCTTAATACTTCTTTTGTAGTTGCAGATGCTTTCAAGAGGGGTTAATCATAAGTGGGATGCTTGTCCAAGGAAGGGCAGTACCCAAGCACTGGTCCACCCACATATCAAATTATCAAAGTACCGAACGCGAATCATATGAACGTGGTGAAAACTAGCTTGACGATAATTCTCATGTGTCCTCGGGAGCGCTTTCCTTTATATAAGAATTTGTCCAGGCTTTTCCTTTGCTACAAAAAGGATTGGGCCATCTTGCTGCACCTTATTTACTTTTACTACTTGTTACCCGTTACAAATTACCTTATCACGAAACTATCTGTTACCGATAATTTCAGTGCTTGCAGAAAATACCTTACTGAAAACTGCTTATCATTTTCTTCTGCTCCTCGTTGGGTTCAACACTCTTACTTATCGAAAAGACTATGATAGATCCCCTATACTTGTGGGTCATCACACGTCACGCTCAAACTTCTAGACATCAAGGCAAGATACAAAGAGCGTAGACGCAAGTCTAGATTCTACAGTGGAATATTTACGTGAAGTTTTGCCTAAGGGGAATATGTTGCCTTGTAGTGTCGATGAGGCTAAGAGGATCGTGCGCCCTCTTGGTTTGCCGAACACAAGATGTCACACATGCATAAAATGATTTCACCATATATCAGAATGAGTATGAGCACAAAATAAGAGTGTCCAACTTGCAAGGAACCCCGATTCAAGCATGGAAAGAATGATCCTCGAAAGGTTGTATGGTACTTTGCACTCATTACTCGCTTGCAACATTATTTTGCAAACGAGAAGGAAGCAAAACACATGACTTGACACAAGACTAGGAAGCTCTCGTCTAAAAATGATGCCATTCGAAGACACATTGCAGACAATTGCAAGTGGAATGCACTAGACTTCATAGAACCAGAATTCGTAGCAGAACCAAGAAACCCCAGGTTGGGTGTCAGTACGGATGGACTAAATCTGTTTGTCAACCAAAGCAGCACACATAGTTCATATTGTTCCGGAGGTTATAGACGGTCTGACATTCTTGCATACCATGTTCCCGTTCGAAAGGATGAATGGAACACTAAATAGATACATTCATAACAGGCCCGTACGGATGAAAGCATCGTCCAGGCCTATCTGACCGAGGAGTGTATATCATTCTGCAATAATTATATTGAGGTTGATCAATCTGTTGGTCTTCCCGTTAAGAAGCATGCTGATAGGCTCAAAGGAGTAGGTCACTCACAATTGATGCATGATTTAAATGTTGATACACAAAACCATTGAGGCGACTTTAACAGAGCGCACACAGTAGTGTTACAACACACAGATACAATCACTCCTTAGCTGCAGGATCACAAGGAAACTTTAAGGAAAGCGCACACAATGGCAGGGAGGCAGAGGACCGATGCCCCGATCATTAAAGAGCACAACTCCAAATTTGCATCTTGATTCTCAGAGCGAATTAGGGACAAACCACTATCATCATACATTGCCAATGCAAATCTCATCTATGCATTAGCAGTTGTCCCCACCAATTACTTTCAAAAATAATAGCTTTTGGTTTAGGTCATTTGGTTCTTACAAAATTTATCCAAAATTAAACTTTAAAATCCGTGTGACACGCGGAGAAATCACCTAGTTGTCAAAGTTCCGGGCCCTGCGCACATAATCCTTTGGATTTTAAGTTAAACATCTACATTTTCAACTTTCAATATTGGTGTTCTAAAAAAACTTTTTTTGCAAGGTAAAAGGGAGTTTTATTGCAAGTTCATAGAGTTACAGTCAAGAGGCCACAAGTCCTCGATACAAGGTGGAATCGAGCCCAACCACACAGCTTTAGCTCGTTCGGACCGGCTAGGTGGCCAACCGATCGGCAACTCTATTTTGATTACGCCTAATTTTCTGAGGTAAAAACTCCCTCTCACTCATCAACTCCTTAATCTCTAAAACTAACTGGACATACGCCGAGCGAACCAGAGCATCATTGGACAGACTAGACAGAGCTTTCGAAGAATCGAGTGCAAGACCACTGGACGGTTGGAATGTTGGATAGCCAAGGCCATTCCTTGCATGACCGCATGTAGTTCTGCTTCCAATGGATCATTGCATTGGAAGATAAAACGATAAGCCGGAAAGACAACCAAACCGTTGCTGTCCCGGAGTACCATGCCCGCAGCCGCAGACCCGTCAGCCCCCAAAAATGAGCCATCAACGGACAGGGCGACATAGCCTTGCTTCGGGGCCGGCCAGGGAACTGGGGGGGGGGGGACGCCTCCTTCTGTATGGGAGCCGTGAAGGTCGTAGACGCCATTTTTCCTTTCAAGATTTCCTCTGGTGAAAACCTCCCAGCTAGTTTGATGGATTGGTAGTAGCTGTCCAGAAAATCAACCGTAGTAAGAATCGGGGGTGGATCCTTACCATATGTCATGTCATTGCGTAATTGCCAAATCCGCCATATCAACATTATTAACATGCCCCGCACATCTTCAGAACACCTAGTAAGAAAGTGCATCAACCATTACTTCCCATTGTCAAAGAGAAAATCATCACCTGGAAGGGGCCATCTGTTCCGCATATGTTCTCAGAGACTTCTAGCATGCGAACAAGAGGCTAATGCATGGAATGTACCTTCCTCATCCACACCGCACAAAGGGCAAGTTGAGCGAGTAGAAACATGGTTGTATTTCTTGCATTGCTGTGTGGGTAGAGTTCCTGTCACAACCCTCCATGTCGTGATCTTCATTTTTTGAGGTACGTTAGATTTCCACACACAATTCCATAAAGTCCGAGTGCCATCTGGGCTAGTGCTCGAAGCACCATCTGCAAACTTGATATTATGCTTGTACATGGCTAGCTTATATGCACTTTTCATTGTGAAAACTCCACTTTTCTCCGGAAACCAAGAGAGAAAGTCCGTACGCTGACGGGGGGATGCTCTGATTTACAAAATATGTTGAACGCCCATCGACCAAAACAATTGTCTCAGATGGTCAACTCTCCATGCACCATTGACATCTAGAAAGTCGGAAACACGATTTAGATGACAAGTACCTTTAGGAGAGATTGGGCGGAATGAAAAGGGGCGCTATATCCATAAATAAAATGACCTCTACCCTGTTGACCTACCTGTATTAATCCGCCCCGCACACATAATACCTAGTGTCTTGATTTTTAATTTGAACATATACGCTTTTAACTTTTAAGGTTGGCGTGCATGAACCACAAAAAAAACCGAACAACAAAAAAGTTGACCTATCAGTACTAAGGTCACCTAAGGAATTTCTGGCAAACAAGCACAATTTTGAATCAACAATCTCACCAAGAGTTTTTATATTGTCACACATCAGTCGTATTGCGTCATCAGTCGATGACCATGTGACTAGGAGGGAGGAGGAACATTGGAGGAAGGAGACGGGTTAATGAAAAGGGGATACATGAAGAGGAGGAGGAGAGAAGAGTTAGTGAGAAGGGGATGAAGGAAGAGGAGGAGTGAAGGGGCGGACCTCGACGACGATGGTCATGCTCGGTATCTGTCTTACCAGTGAATCGACTCGATGTCACACTACCGATGGAAGTGGATATCATTATCAACACGGTAGCGTAGTGAAAGGCGCGGACAGTAATGAACCGAAAAAGGAAAGAGGAGACCGTGGCAGGGGTCGGGGACACGGTACCGAAACCTAGGGCGAGGCGGGGGTGCGTTTACATTTTAACTCCGTGTTCGAAGACGGCGTCGAAACGGGACAATATAGAAACGTATCCTAGTGTGACTCGTAACTACGTATCCTAGTGTGGAAGACGTATTCCTAAATTTCACGTTTCTCGCGCCGGCTGGAGGAGGAAGAAGACAACATAACAACAGCTTGGTGTGCTTGGATCTGTAACCGTACTGCGTTTCCACTCCTTCACCGCTCGCCATAACTAATCGAGGGAAGGGAGCATCGAGCCGTTCCAATTCGCGTCCTCGTCTTCCCCGCCAGTCCCCTCTCCCTCCTCCCCAAGAAGTGGTCAGCACAGGGACGACGCGGCGGGGCGGCGGCGGTGTTGGCGTCTGTGTTTGCTCGCTAGGCGAGAAGGCAATGACGGCGGCGGGGCCGGGAGCGGGGCCGGGGGCGGAGGCCCAGATGGGGAAGGACAGGGACGTGGTGCGGCTGGAGCGCGAGTCGGTGATCCCCGTCATGAAGCCCAAGCTCATCATGAAGCTCGCCTACCTTATTGGTTTGCCTCTGACCCCTCTCTCTCTTCCTTTACCTGTCCCATTACTCCGGTCCGGCGTTCGCCATGGGCGCTGCGCGTTTCTTGATTCCCTTTCGCCACAGAACGGATTTCACCGTACGGCGTTTGTTTAGTACTTGAACTTATTCCTAACTTTGAAGATTGGATTCTTTGCCTGTTCTGAAGGAAAGCACGCATATTGGTTTGATTGATCCATGTTTTACCTGTAATAAAGTAGAAAGATTGTGCTCAAAGAAATCCTAATAACTGTAGATATGGGGGGTTTGTACATTTCATACCACCTACCTAACACACATACTAGCGGGGTCCTTTCCTAATGTGGCTATCAAGTAGTCCACCATGTTATGTGTTCACCTGTCTTAGTTTCTACATGCTGAAGCAAAGATATCGTCTTTTGGGTTTATGGACTTCATAACTGAAAGCAAACTCTGTTGCCTGTTTCATGAAGAGCACGAAAACGACAGGGAAGAATTCCTGAAGCTCTGCAAGAGGGTGGAGTACACCATCAGAGCTTGGTATCATCTCCAGTTTGATGATATGATGGTGAGAACCCGACGCCTTTCTGAAGACCTGTTTTTCATACATTTTCATACTTTTGCTGCTTCAGACTGATCTGTACAACCATCTTAAAAAGCTGCTAATTTCTGTCAGTGCTTGAAATTGAATCAGATTTGATGTATTCAGTATCTTAATTTTTGTACAGGAGCTGTATGCTCTCTTCGACCCTGTGCAGGGTGCCAAAAAACTGCAGCAGCAGAACTTCTCGTCCGAGGAAATCGATACACTCGAGCAGAACTTCCTGACCTATTTCTTTCAGGTATAGGACTTGTTTGGGAGAAAGCGTTGCTAATATGTTATGTAGCATTGCAATTTAAGTGCCCAATTCGGTGCAGGTGATGCAAAAAAGCAATTTCAACATATTATCTGACGATGAGGTTGAGCTTGCTCATTCTGGACAATACCTATTGAATCTTCCAATTAAAGTTGACGAAGGAAAGGTTAATGTCCACTCACTCCAGACCGCACCTCCTTATCCAAAATCACTACTAGATTCAGGGCCATTACATTTTTGTTGTTTGCTGGTGCAGTTAGATAACAAACTTTTGTCGAAGTATTTCAAGGAGCACCATCATGACAACCTACCTGAGTTCTGTGATAAGGTGAGAATGCTCTGGCTCTTATATGCAATACTGATGCACCCTCATTTTGAAACATATTCAGCTGGCTGTTCTTATATTCTGGCTGCATCCACTCACTGTTGTTTCATCAAATTTTAGTTTTAAGAGATAATTGAAGGATAGGTTTTCATGTATTATTGATGTGGCACCCTAGACCTTTTCTTCTCTTAGTAGCCGTGGCTCGGTTTTCCTCATATTATTCATATACAACTCATTGTTCCGCGTGCAAACCTTATACTTACCCAGCATAATCTTCTATTTTCCAGTACGTCATATTTCGGAGGGGCATAGGACTGGACCGCACTAGCGATTTTTTCTTCATGGAGAAAGTGGACATGGTCATAACTCGTACATGGCGATGGCTGTTACAGAAGACGAGGTATGCTATCCACCACTCATTTATTTTCCTTCGAAGTTTATCTTGCTCATTCCACAAGTTAGTTATTTTCATACTGTAATTTCAGACTGCAAAGGCTCTTCTTGAGAAAGAAAAAGGTCAAGCCAGTGATAGATTCCAAGAAAGATGATGATCTAGTTGGTGAAGGGGACGACAAGGAGCTATACGTTGAACGTATACGACTTGAAACAATGAAATTGAGGTTTGTGCTGTTCTTAACCTGTTACACTATCACAATCCCAATAAGCTGCCATCTTTTGGTCTTCTATGCTCTCATATTTTCCTACTTTCATTGTAGCCTGCGCAATTTAATTGGCAAGGTTACAATTCAGGAGCCTACATTTGAAGAGGTGATTGTCTTGTACAGGTAGAACTCATAATGATTTTGGTTTGAGGTTGTAGGCAACAGTTTCTGGTGCCTTGGTTGTGAAATGGTCACTCGCATGATTCCTACAAACCACCATGTCTGAACTAATTTCTGATGGCACATGTTTGATTTCAGGAAGAAAAGCCCGAAGGGCCAGGATGATAGAGCAATTCAGGTTAAACACTTCAAAAATATTCCGATGGCAGATATGGAGTTGGTTCTGGTTAGTGCTGGACGCTCTACGTTTTCTAAAAGAAAGAGATGTGGTTATGTCCAAAAGTTTTTTCTTTGAGAACACATCTATACTCATTTATTCATCTGGGCTTATGCTGAAGATAAATCATGGTATTTGCAGCCTGAGAAGAAAAACCCGAGCCTCACGCCAATGGACTGGGTTCAGTTCATTGTTTCTGTTGTTATTGGGCTTGTAAGTCGAGTGAAATTGGTTTGACTTGATCCATTGATTTTGTTGTGTTTCATCAGTTGATGATTGCCTCTATCACATTACCCAGGTTACACTCGTCGGTTCACTCGAAATGCCTAAAGCTGATTTCTGGGTTGTGATTGCCATCCTTTCTGCTCTGGCTGGATATTGTGCTAAGATCTATTTCTCGTGAGTCCCACTCGATGTATTATTTGACAGGGTATTCATGCCGTCAGTAATTTGGATTATTTGTGTATGACCTAACCAGGAGGCCTTTTTTTGTTCTTTTGACCTGCTAGGATTACTCTAGAACACATTCACAAAATGTGATTTTGCTCCCTTAATTCTTTTAGCCCTTCTTAATTAGGACACTCATGTATTACTTTTCGGGTTGATGGAATTTACCTTTGCTGCAGGTTTCAACAGAACATGGCAACCTATCAAAACCTAATCACTCAGTCAATGTATGACAAACAACTAGATAGTGGGAAAGGCACACTTCTGCACCTCTGTGATGATGTGATTCAGCAGGAAGTAGGTCCTAAGAATCAGCAAAATAGAGGCTTGTGTTTATAGAAAATTTCAACTCACAATTTATTTACATATTTGCGATTTCTGATGTTCAGATCAAGGAGGTCATAATCGCATACTATATATTGATGGAAAACGGAAAAGCTACTGTTGAGGTATGTCAGATCTTTTGCTACTTCAAACCACTATTTTTCTTGTTAAGTTATATTATGCTTTGTTAAGTTAGAATGTTGTTTGTTTCCCAACATGTTAGGATCTTGATTTGCAATGCGAGGAGCTAATCCAGGAAGAGTTTGGTTTGCAATGTAATTTTGAGGTGATGGATGCTCTTCAAAAGTTAGAGAGATTTGGTATTGTTACAAGAGTGAGTTCTTACAGCCTTTTCTTGTACTGTTTCATACCTGCATTGCCAGTCATATGAAAGGTTCTTACAATCATAATTTGCAGATTTTGCAATAAAACAATGACAGAATCCAAAAGTTTTTTATGACATTACCCATCGTATTGTTATCCCTTTTATCTCTTTCATATTAATAAACTCGATGGTGTGTTCAGGATTCTATAGGAAGAATTGTTTGCGTTCCTCTAAAGCGATCCAATGAGATCATTGGTGCTACTACTGAGGAGCTGGTTATGAAAGCAAGACAAAGCTAGTAAACTCGATTTGAACCAGGTAAACTTCTTGTAAACTCTTGGCCAGCTGTTGGCATTGTAATGTTTCTGGATTACTCCAAGAAGTGCTGACATGCTGATACTTAGTTTGTTCCATTTTAAGGGGGCAAGTACATCCTGGCTGGAAGCGGAATAGTTCTGCTACGGAAGTTGAGGAGAGACGCGACTGTGATTTGGTCGTAGATTCTTCTGTATTATGTAGTATTTGAAGTGCGGTGTCGTAGATGTGTGGTGTAAGAATTAAATATCCCCTACTCGAACAAATATGGAGATGTTCAAGGAAGTGTTGTGTTTGCACATTGATTAAGTTATTAAAGAAAAGAAATTCCCTGGATTGGTTTTGCTGGATCTGTTCTGCTCCACATGTTGCTGGGGTATTTTCCTTCCCCTTATGCGTAAAACATAAAGCCCTGTGAGCATACAGTAACTTAACAGGGTGGTTTACTAATCACAATATAATCACTTGTCCAGCCATGTAACAGTTTCTGTGAGTTGATTACTGGTGAGTTTACAGATATCAAGGAAAAGGAGAAAGAAAAGCAGCAAAATTTTCTGGACGGTACATGTCCAAACCATATCCACTTGCCCTTGTCTGTTTGCAGGGAGGTACATGTGCAGGAGAAGCAAGCGAAGAGGGTGTGGAGAAGAGGGGGGCACAGCGTTTGGGGGTGAGATAATGAGCAGCAGCAGCAGCTTGGCGTCCACCATTTCTGCAGCAGCCACTGCTGCTCGTCCTCGCCATGGCGCGGCGAAGCAGCAGCTGAGCACAAGGGTGAAGCCACACCTGAAGCATGCTGCAGGCTGCTGGGAGAGCAGCGGCAGCGGCAGGGCGGTGGTGGCGAGGGCTGGGCCCGGGCCGCTGACGGAGATCGAGCCGGACCTGCAGGAGGACCCCATCGACAAGTGGCGCACCAACGGCGTCCTCCCGGTCTGGAGCGATCCCCTTGGTTTTCTTGTTCTTGCTGCTGTGTTGTCTGGGGAATTGGGATGACACTGGAGTGAAATTGTTTTGCAGGAAGACTTTGTGTATGGAGTGTATGATGGCCACCATACCTATGATGAAGGCCAAGGTATTATCTGGTATATTTTCTTGTATACAGCATAAACTATATGCATTCGCTGGCTGAAAGTTTGTGCTGATTCTGATATGATGTGGTGGAAACCAATCATCCAACTGAAGAAAAGATGGGCTTCTGGGAGGATGTTTCTGAGTGGTACCAAGAAGCTGAGCCTCCACAGGGATTCCAAGGTACACTCACTCATGGTGCCTTTTGCTATCTGGAAACAGTATTACATGTCCTTGAATCTTTCTCATTAGCATCAACGGCAATCTCTTGCAGCACTCATCTCCTGGGCATTCCCTCCTGCAGTCATCCTCGGAATGGCTTTCGATGTGCCGGTATGGATTGAGTAGTTCCATTAACCTCTAATCCTCCTATTTACATGCATCATCTGTCTTGGGCTCACTGAACGAAGGAAGACTCGTGGTCTATTTGTGCCACCAGGGAGAGTACCTTTACATTGGGGCAGCTATCTTCATCGTCGTGTTCTGCGTCATCGAGATGGACAAGCCGGACAAACCGCACAACTTTGAGCCGGAGATCTACATGATGGAGAGGTCCAAGCGCGACAAGCTCATCGCAGACTACAACTCCATGGACATCTGGGACTTCAACGAGAAGTACGGCGAGCTCTGGGACTTCACTGTCAACAGAGATGACCTTATCCAACCATAGGTGCCATTCAGAAATGGTGGTCGCATTGGCTAGATTCAGAAATGGAGGTCAGTTCAGATGACATGTATGATAGTGATATAAGCACTCTCTAAGGAAATCAGGGATGGCATAGCTCCAAGAAAAGGATCTTCAAATAAAGCATCCTTGTAAAAAATGCAGAGCAAATTGTCAGAAAACACCATACTACAAATGGCAAATGTCTAAAATTGTAGAGATATATAAAGTTGCCAGTTTGGCGCTACCCTCTCGATGTTACAAAAGTCTAGCAAAAAAGAATTGTCATTCTTTTTTGTGCAAGTTGAAACCCTATGTCGAATACAACGAAGAAAATACACCAGGGGTGAAAAGGGAAGCCTAACAGCTCCTCCTTTTTTGTACACTTGAGTTGCACAGCTGATGATGAGCTGGCTCACTATGAGAAGAAACTAATGGGGCAAAATTGGAGCTAGAATAGCTAATCTATAACCCTGAAAGAGGAAAACTAGCTTAGCCTTTGAAATGCTATAACTTTCCATTCTTCTTCATCTTGGTGATGTGAAGAGCTGGCTGCCTAGGGTCACAGTTGTGTCGCCCACTGGCATGGCTGTCGTCCTCCTGATCTCCTGCTCGCGTATCCGGTGTATCTCGGCTTCCACCAGGCTCATCGACGGACGATCCTCGCTTGCCGGGTTCACGCACCGCGATGCCAAGCGCAACAATTCCTTCATGCCTCGTGGGGTAAAGCCGCTGGTCATTCTCCTATCTGCTATTGCAGAGATTTCACTTGATTCTTGAAAGTTCCGAACCTGCATATCAGAGATGGATAGTATGGTGATAGATATTATGAGAATAATATGGCAAAGAGGAATTGAACAATCATCAGGAATCAGTAGAATTTACCCATTCAATAATGCCTTGATCAGACGCAGCCGTCCTTCCACTGATCAACTCCACAAGGAACACACCAAAACTGTATACATCACTTTGTATGGAAAAAATCATGGACTCCTTCCCCCTGGTCATGCAACAAATCTCCATTAAAAACAGACACGGGATGCCGATAAATTTGCTACTATCACAGGCAGCACACTGAAAGCATACAGTTTGTACTATTCACTAATGGAAGTCAAGGGATGTAATTATGAACTTTTAAGTTTTAACCACCCCAAAGAAGAAGCTCAGTCATTACCGAGGATCAACGAACGGATCATTGAATATCATCGAAGGCGGGCCAGCATTGCCTAGTCGATCAAGTAGGCCTCGGATGCCAGTATCAGCAACTTTTGGTAAGAAATCCGCATCCACCAGGACATTAGCAGTTTTGAAGTTCATGTGGACAGCAGGAGGGGTCATGGAATGCAGGTGACTCAGGCCTGAGTAACAGTAATAGGAAAGGTCATTATAATAAGATTCATTGCATAACTATTGTGACTGAAAATGAGGCAATTCATAATGTAGTCATGAAAACATGCCTCTGCCAATAATGGAAATGCGGAGTTGGTGCCGATGTATACTTACCCTTAGCGGTTCCATGAGCAATAGCAAGTCTCTGCTTGAATTCTAGCCTTGCAGTTGGAGAATGGCCATTTCCTGTAGAAGGATGGCAAGAAAGAAAGAAAGCTATCACTTGTGATGCTCTTCTTGCACATCAGAACAATAATAGGAAACACACAATGGAAAAATCACCATGCAAATGCGTAGAAATGCTGCCATTGGGGACATACTGATAAACAAGCATCTGCATGCCATTGTCCTGGCAATGCCCCAAGAGATTTACGAGGTTGGGATGACGACGGATAGACGATAAGTAATTAACCTGGGGAGCAAAAGGCACCAACAATCATGAGTTCATGTATTGGTTTTGATCTCAGGAAGCAAGGTTTTGATTTCTTAAAACATGCCACTACTCTAGAGAATCGGCGGATACGGAGAAAAAATTGGCACCTCATGAAGAAATTCCTGGCTCGGAGGAGAATGCCGCCTTTTAACCGCTATAATTGTGCCATCCTGGAGCAAACCGTTGTATACCTCTCCGAACATTCCATGTCCGACGAGATTCGAGCTGCTGAAGTTATTTGTAGCAGACCTTAGTTCCTCCAGTGTCATACATCTTGCTCCTTGCATGTCTAGAGTACATAATAAAAGCAGTCTGTTAAGCTAAATGCTAATCTGACACCAGCTGAAAAACAGTGAAATTAAAAGCCCCTCAAAAACTAATTTGAGCGGTACCTGGAAGAGCTTGACCCGACGAATTACTCTCTGAAGAATCTGAATTCCTTCTGCGGTGCCGTAGGCATAGCACTACAATGAGTGTGATGGCACCAACTAATGCCAAACCTCCTGCAGCCCCTCCTAGAGCTACTGCAAGAATGTCTGACATCTAGTATGAAATTTCCTCCTTCAGAACAGGCTAGTAATATTTCTGTAGCAGTGGCGATGCAGATGTAACCTAAATAGTAGTACATTTAATTTATCTGAACTTAACTTTGAACAAGCAATAAGAATAAACGAAAGATTGCTGAATCGACAGCGCAACAATACAAAGTGAACTAAATAATTGCAGAGTACAAAATGGAACATATGTGCCATATATGGATGGACCGGTTAAACAAGAGATGAATATGAGCAGTTATAAAATAGGTAAGCGCATTCCGACAATGACGTAAGCAGCACGGACCAAGCAATTATTAGCGCATAAATCAGCGAAAGGAAAACTAAAATATCAGATGGAACAATGCAATCATGTTGACATTCAGAACTGAACATTAAGTGGCCTGGCAGTTCGTGCCTTTTTGCCGTTTATCGCATTCCTTTTATTTCCTAGATAACGTGCACGGCCGTTGCAATATTCAGAAATTTCGCACCATCAGAGAAATTTCACGCTGTAACACGTACTAAATTCTCGTGTAATTTAAAGAGCCTCGTGAATTCTCATAAAATTACGTGGCGTTGCGTTTTGCGCCTTTTGCCTTTTATTTCCCAGACAGTTGCAATATTCAAATATTTCGCGCCATGACTAGCACTAATAAAATTCCCATGGTATGCAAAGAGCCTCCCAAATACAATAAACTGCGCTGCATATTCTTCTATTTGGTTGACAATGCATGATCATATACAGACACAAAAAAACTGTCCACTGCACTATATATAACAGGAACGCTTCGTCGCCCATATAAAGGGGTATGCGAAAGCTTCCTCTGTAGTAGTGCTTCCAAACCACCAATGCCTTTAACAATCCCCAGTTGTACTACATGTTAAATCGAAATCTAATAAGAGAAGAATGCAGAATTCTTCAACTTGTGTGATCTAACAATATGGCATTGGCCTTATGGGCGCTGAAGGAAATCATGCAGTAAGACAAGAATTGCTCCTAGTAGTATGAAAAAGAAAACAGACGCACAACTGTTGCTCCATCTATACGTGCTACAGTACATGGCAAGAATAACAGGCACGCAGTATGATCTATAACGAATAACCTATATCAACAAATTCCACAGCAATCATGCAGACAATATCTTATCCCCAGAGCACACATCAAATCCATCTGATCCTGGTCCAAGAAAGGACCAGGAGCATGCAAAGACCATCATATCAATCAGCCAGAGCAGAGAGAATGTCCAAGCAACCAATAGCAAACATGCATACCTGCAGATTGACGAGGTCTCCTGGCGTCATCTCCCTGCAGGCACAAGAGCAGGATCAAACGCTGAAGCCATGCCGTGATACTTTTATCCCCTTCTTCTCCCTCCCTGCCCCTGTCTGTCATCATCAACAAGGAAAAGTTCCTATTAGGTTCAGGGCAAGAAATCAACAGAGGAGGAAACCAAAATCAAGCATGAAAAATGTGCAAGGAACATCCAGATTACGATCATGGAAGATGAGAAGAAACAGGGGACATGGAGAAGCAGCAAGAATCCATGAGAAGTGAGAAAAACAGGGGACATGGAGAGGCAGCAAGAAAGCAGGGGAGGCAAGAAACATGTGCCTTCTTCTTCCTCCTCCTCCTCCTCCTCCTCCTGCTCAGGTGCCGATGATTGGAAAGGGGGAGGGGTTTGGGGGAGGACAGGAGAGGGGAGAGGGGACAGGAGAGCCAGCACAGCCAGCCAACACCAGCGGGAGGGAACCGGCAGGCCAAGTATATATAATGGTGGAGCTTAGGAGGAGCCGCATCAAAATGTGCCTAGGAAAAACGTGAGGCGCCCGCCGCTTGTATTCGCATTGCAGGCAGTGAGAAAATTACTTACTGCCTAAAACGGAGGCGGGGCTGAGCAGGTCCGCCATGGTCCACGCTGACGTCGCATACGCTGCTCTTAATCCCTCCTTAATTAGCAAGATCGCCTCTGCCGAGAGAGAAAAGAATGAGAGGGATGGAGGCATCTCCCAGCCCGGCCCAATGATTGCCCCCAAAGGCGAGGCGACAGTTCGTGGGGATCGCGACACCGCGCCGACGGACGGGCGGCGACGCGGCCACCCATTCTCCCGATTCGTTGTCTACTTCTTTTTCGCGGCATATTTTACTATTCGGCAATTCGTTGCATCGTATCGTCGGATTATCATATGCTCGGGTAAATGGATGAATCTTTCTGTCGATCGCGCGAGCTCAACAAGAAATGGCGTGGTAGTAGAATAGAAGGCGTCAATGATTGCCGAGCATGGAGGAAGCGGCCGGGCGGGCCGAGCAGAGCTGGAAGACAGGCGGACAGCAGCTGCATGCACACCTCCTCACAGGCACCAGAGCAGAAAAGCTGCACACGCCCTTCTTCTTTCCTGGCCTGACGGACGCACGGAGGCCTTGTCACTTGTCACCTAGTGCGAGCAGTAGCTAGCCCAGCCCCAGACCAGAAAGCACACGCTTCGGAACTCGGAATGAATGAATGAGCGAATATTGCTAAATCTTTTCTAAATTAACTCGTTGATCCACCCAGATATACTACGTGCGTGCATGCATGAACTACAGTGGTAGTGGTACAGCCTGCCTAGCTCGCTCGATCCAAGCGATACGGATCGCCGCTGTGACACTTGCATCCATCCATCCATCCATGGCGTCTTGCTGCAGGCTCGTCCCTCCCTCCCTCCCTACGGAGTGGACTGGAGTGGAGTGGGCCGCCGCTGTGACCAGTGAGCTGTACGCGGCCATCGCCGTCACCATGCGTTTCCTTCGTCCTCACATCCATACCAACTTTTTTACCCCCTACTTACTGCCATCTCATGGATTTTTCTTCTACTTTAAAAAAAAATGTTGAGAGGACCAAGAAGATAAATTATGCATGAACTTTAAGAAACATTTGATAATCAAGCCTAACATGTAGGGGCACCGTTAAGAGTTTGCCTGGTGTAGGGGGGCCCCTTTGGCCCCCGTGAAGCTCCGCCACTGACGTATTGCCGCTATCATAGGCAAATTTGACCTGTGGACGAAATCAAATCACAGAATAAACTGCTCATGAAACTATTTCACGCGGCTGACCTTTTTGTGTGACGCCCGACACGAAGGCGTCACACTACATTGTGCAACGCCTCACAGATAGGCGCTACACGCCTGGCCAACGTTGCACCCCAAACTGCCTAAAAAATGCTAAGTCATTGTGCAGAGCCTACGAGCTAGGCGCTGCACTGTATAGTGTGGCGCCTAACTCTCAGGCGCTGCACTAGTGGTTGCACTACAAAATGAAGCAACCACTAGTGCAACGCCTAGAAGCTAGGCGCTACACTGTATAGTGTGGCGCCTAGCTCTCAGGCGCTGCACACTGACTTAGTAATTTTCGGATCACATGGGTGCGACGCTGCCCAGGCGTGTAGCGCCTATCTGCGAGGCGTTGCACAGTGTAGTGTGACGCCTTCATGTCGGGCGCCACACAAAAAAGTCAGTCGCGTGAAGTAGTTTCACGGGCAGTTCATTCTGTGATTTGATTTTGTCTATAGGTCAAATTTGTCAATTTTGCCGCTACCACACTGCTCACAAGCATGCGTGCATCCACATGATTATTTCGCAGTCCCCAAATGCCAATTTGTTCCTGCTGAATTATTTTTTGTCCGGGTTTCTGCTAATTATATTCCTCCAAAGAAATTATGCTAATAATAATAAGACTGGGACAGCACACTATGCTTGTGGGAACCGTGGAAACACCGCAACGCCATCGTGTTTGACAGAGAGACACCATCACTCCAAACGGCACTCCAGAACATTGATCGTGAAGGACGCACTTGGAGATCGGCAGGGAAGTTTAAGGGTGACATAAAATTTTTCTTTGGTGGTATCCATAGGCGGGCTAGTGGTGAATAATCCCGAACGAGCTCTGTGTGTGGTGGTGGAGGCCTGTGTGAGCCTTGTAATTACGGTTCTAAACTTTGTGGAGGGTCTCTTTGCCCCTTTCTTCTTTAATATATGATATGCACATTCATGCATATTCTAAAAAAAAATACAATTTAAAAAGAAGAGAGACTTTTGTGAGTCGCTTTAAGTTGGGGTCTTGACAAATGGATGGATGGAGCTGGGCTCTCTCTCTCTCTCTCTCTCATGGAATGGAATGCCTGCCCATCCTTGTGAGCTGTACATGATGGACAGCTGAAAAGCCTGAAGCGAATGGAAGATGCCAAAGGCAGAGGGGAAGGGGACCCAGATTTCTCCGGACAGATGGAGGGAAGGGCGATTGGATTGCATGCATGACAGCCTTGCGCTGTCCCATCCTTGTTCCTCCCTTCCATGCATATAACACGCACTTGATTTTGCTTCTTAGCCTTAATTTAGAATGTTCTTAAAAGTGCAATATGTCATATACTGTTTTGTCCACGCCTTACAAAAACACCGCTGATAAAAAAATTTAAAATTACAAACATGCACAAGAGGATTTCTGTGCCGTCTCCAACATGTATATAACAACAAGATGTTGCATATCTAAAAGATTTTGTGTTGAGACACTTGACTATTTCTTCGTGCTTTCGACGCGGTCGAACTCCCTTCGTCTGGAAACTAGTAGAAGTTGCAACAGATCTTCAAGATTTATCATTTACCGACAATTTATGCGGTATATACGTGAGTTACAAGAGGCGTACTAATATCACTGGATACACTTGTATTAAGCGATTTTGTGTTGAGTCGCCTGACTGTTCCTTCGTGCTTCCGAGGTTCGGTGGATCGGTCGGACTCCCTTCATTTGGAAGATAGTGTAAATCATCAAAGATTTTCAAGACTTGTCTTTCACCAAGAATTTATTCGACAATACGTCAGTCATAATATATGTATTAATATCGCTGAACACGTTATAGTTCGAAAACAATATACCAACAACATCTTGCATATCCAAAAGATTTTGTGTTGATACACTTGACTATTTCTTTGTGCTTTCGATTTAGCTCGATCAGGCTCCCTTCGTCTGGAAGCTAGTAAGAGTCGTAAGAGATTTTCGAGATTTATCGTTTACGGAGAACTTATTTGGGATATACGTGAGTTACAAGATACGTATTAACATCGGTGGATACGTTGCTCTTAAACACAATATTTGGTGGCATTAGTTTTGTATATCACAAAATCTATATATAGTACATTAATGGCCCAAAATCAAATCTTTGAAAGCGCGTATGTGTTACATTTCTAGATCGATTACCGAGTTATACGGTATTAATTCCGTACCAAATAATATATTTAGTCACAATGAATGGCAAAAATTAAATTCTCTACATTTACATTCCGGATGCGACAGAAAAATAATACATATATGGTCTACTACTAATGAGTGGCCAAAATAAAATCTTCACAATTACATTTCCGGACAGAAAAACAAAAGGCGTAGACGTAGTGGTGGGGAAGGTTCGTGAATCGTATACGCCCACCGTCGACCGACCACGTCTCAGGATAGTCACCCGGCCGGCCTTGTCCGGAAAATGGACAGTCTTGCTCGAAGGGGTGGGGGGTGCGGTCGGTCGGCTGTTGGCGCTCCCGTGCACGACATTTCCCTCACGTACGTACTGTACTTCTTTGGACGGTTCATGCATGCATGACCCTGCTAGCTACTCCGTAGCTCCGGGCCGGTCGGTCAGAAGTTTATCTGCACTGCATCAGCAGCTTGTTCTTACCGTACCTACCTACCTAAGCGTACGTCTCATGCATGCGTGCAGTGTTGGGTGCAACACAGCTAGCTAGCTAAACTTTTCTTTCGAGAGTGATAGATAGAGTTGAGTTTATCTTCGCGGACGGATGGATGCCAGATGTATATGCGTGTCTGTATGCGTTGGGTACGTGGCCCGTGTGTCCGGGTTAAGACTAGTACGTAGGCAGGCACGTAGCGTAGGCCAACTCCAACGCAGACCCCAAACGGACGCGGACATTTGTCCATTTGGGGTGCGAAATAGGCGGCGACCGGAGGGCGGATGGTCGGGCGACGCATCTGCGCCCAACACGCAGGAGACGCCCCAACCCCAAACACACGCGAACTCCATCTGGCAGCTCCGACAGATAGACGTCGTGCCTCGTCCACGGCCGCCGCAGCGTCGCCCCGGCGGCTCCGGCAAGGTGCGGGGAGGAGGAGAACGGCGGCGGGTGACTGGCACGGCCTCAACGAGGAGCGTGGGAGGGACGGGTTCCTCCGCCTCCCTGTAGTGGCGGAGGTAGAGGGTGGCCAGGGTGGGCCATGGCCCACCTTGAGGTTTGAAAACAGTATTTATATCATAGGAGAAAAGCT